AATGGAGATTTGGTTTTTATTTTAATAACAAAACAGTCTGCATGGCTCAGCAGTTCAGACTATGGGGCTGTAAATTGCAGCGCGTACTAACATGCTGCACTGCACCATGTAGACCCTGCAAGTGCGAACTAACCAGTACCTAGATCACATTAATATAGTCCAGTTTTGTTATTAAAATAAAAACATATGACACAAGCTGCTTCCCGTGTAGCTTGTTTACTTTTTGCTAAGTTGGAAGACAGAGAGTTTTTCCTCCATAGAAGATTTTTCAGTTGATCACTGTTAACCACTTAATACTACACAAACCATTTTTTGTTTTGAAACAAACTCTCTTCTTTTTTGAAAATAAAATTGTTAGTGAGTTGATGCACATGCCATCCTTGTCCCGATTCTCTGCAAGTCAGAATGGTTATTTAACACAAACATCAGCTCTTTTGTCTTTCCAGTTTCTTTGTGCTGTTGAAAAGCAACAAAAAATAGATTTACTTTTGTACTACAATGATCTATGGAAATTGTAGCTGTGAATGTATGATCAAGCTTCTTATAGAAGAAGTAATGCTGGTTTAACACACATGTGCTGCCCTATGTTTTATTACATTTTACCTCCATGCCATTGCTCATGTACATAATGTTCAGTTAATTTGTATTACAGTAGCATATAGAAGCCTGACCAATAATGGCACCCCATTGTGCTAGTCACTATACAAACACATTCCAGAAGAAAGCTCTGCCCCAAAGAGCTTGCAGTCTAAATGGACACGACAAAAGGTGGGAATCCAAACAGATACAGAAGTGTCATGCTCAAGGTTATACAGCAGACAAGTGGCAGAGATGAGACTAGAACCCAAGTCTCCTGAGTTCAAGTCCAGTACTCTATCCACTGGACTACACTCCTCTCAAAATTGTTTACCATGACTCTTATATACATTATGGATCCTGGTCCACAGGTCTAGTATGGAATAAATAAATTCCTTCCATGTATTTGGATCTTACTCTTGTATTCTGTAGCCGTTTTCATGAGACAGTTTTAACATAATACTATTGTACAAGGTGCTTAGTGTTGCACTTATATATTTATAATTCAACATTTTTAATGTGTGTTAAAAATCTTAAGCGTGTAGCAGCCTCATAAGAATGTTGGAAGTATGTTGTAATGCTCGCTGCTGTGGCTTTTTTTAGAATCTGTGAAAAAAAGTTTTCAGTGAGATTTTAATTTAGTGGAGGAATAGCAGTTGTTATACTTTTTTAATTTGGCTAGCAGAATAGGGGTAAGCGAAGGGACAAAGACTGAATTTATGGTGATGTGAAATGAATTGGTGATACAGTATAAATCTATCGGTTTCCTCTTTTCCAATTTAGAATCCATGGTCATGGTGTGGACTCATTATTTATTTTGCATAATAGATTTTCTTCAGCATGTCATAGATCCTGTTTTTCATATGTCAGAACAGAAAAATCCCATAGCCTAACATTTCTGATCCATAATGTGTGAAATTTCAAAGGTTATGTTTCATGATAGAAGTTTCAGAATGTAGACTTGACATTTATAGAACAAAGTAGCAATCCAGGATGATGTTGCCTCATGCAACCAAGTGTTACATATCTGTGTTGTCAATAACTGATTTTTTAACGTTCTGAGCATGTCATGCGTTTAATCTCAAATAGAAGTGTTTTTCTATATTCATTCTTTATCTGTGTGCTGCACTGTTTCTTTATGAATTGTAGAGATATAAAAAAATAAGAAGTCACACAGATTTCAGAGCAGTGTAAGGTACAAACAAAAAACTTGACGTTTTGCTCTTCTGGTATTGGAGGGGAATTTACACCATCTTTAGAGTGCATGGTTTTTCTTCTCCACAGTTACTGTTTGACTTGATATAATTTTCTTTTATTCCTCCCCTAACGGAGGCATTTTTCAGTTGTTAGCAGGGAGAACAGCCATTTTCCCACCTGGGTCACAGAGTCTTTGCAACCTTAAAATCAGTTAAATATAATTGGCCTGTATTTTAGGAAATACCACGAAACCTCCAGTGCACTGCTGCTCTCTAGTGGGGGCAAAAAAAAAGCAAGCTTTCCTTCGTGACTACTTAATGGAAATCAGTTGGGAATTAGAATTCTACAGGTAGTACAGTGGGCTGTGTATCAAGAAATTTGTGTTCTCTTCTGGACTCTGCCTTTTACAGCCTTTTATCCTAATTAATCTTCGGATACAAGATTCTTCTCATATCCTACAGTAGTCTTGTATCCTAAAATTGATAAACCTCAGGCTAGGTGTATGAAGGTAGACTCTCTACCTTACAAGAGTATGCACATGCTTCTTTAGTTCAATCTTACTCTTTCTGGAATTTGGTTTTACTGGTTACTAAAATAACGATAAAAACATAAACCTCTGACTGAGATTTCTTCCTAAGCTTGTTTCTTCCTACGGTTTTCTTGCAAAAACCTCCCAGTGCTAGACCTCAGCTCCCACTGCCCAAAGGGCCTTAAATCCAGTGTGGAGCTAACAAGCTCCATCTGCCGTGATGAGTCAGCAGGGATTAGCATCCCCAGCAAACAGGGTGGGCTGACAAAAATCCCGGACATTGCCTTACAATAGATATCAATTATTCCGTTGTTTTTTCCATATCTTTGCTGTGGGAGGTTTGAGGGAGGACAGGCATGGGTTGAGTTAGTAGTTAACATTTTCTCCTTGCTGGAAACCATATTCTTCATTGGTACTTTTATAACTAACTCAAGTAAAATACAATGTGCATGTAGCTTTATAGCTTTCATTATCCTAGGGCACAATTCTGCACGTATCCACATGTACGGACCTTTACTTCACTTCCTCCAGACGCAAGGAAAGGTCCATGCATGGCAATAAGTTTCCAGGATCATTCCCATAGTTAGCTGCTTGATTGTTAAATAGAAGACCATGGGTCTCAAAACAATAAATTATGAAAATTTCAATTAAAAATAAATCTGAGTGACGAAGAGAAGCGTACCTTTGTATTCAATGCCTAGGTACGTTGGTTATGGGTTCATTAGAAAATGCCTAAGTTAGATCGAAATAGACTAAAACTTCTTGTGGATGGAGAATGCCCCATCTCTTACTTTCCCAATCAAACTGATGCAAATATGCCACTGTTGCATTTTCTGTATAATATATAGGAAATATTGGTTGCCATCAGGTGCTGATGATGAGGTTGAGGTCCATGGTGGAGGTGAGTGAGAGTGCTCCCAAATAGCTATGCTCAGTTTTGGTAGGGGGCGGACTCTGTTTGGTCATGGGCACCTGCTCAACTTCACTTTAGGGGTCTCCCCATAGGAGATTGCAGGTTTATAATCTCCTCTCCCTGCAGTTCAACACATATATGACGCTGCTAAGGGAGTTGATAAAGAGAGAATGGTTGTGGTTACATATGTATGCTGACTGATATTGCACAACTTTGCTTCCTTTTCAATTAATCCTTTATTGGCTTCTTCTTTTTTTTTAAATTCACTATCTAAATGACATTGTTATTTGGGTAAGTGACATCTGGGTTTAATTTTAGCCAGGCAATACTATGGATTGAGGGAAATGTTTTGAGACAATTTTTGGCACTGTGTACATGCTGGTATGGCTGGTGAGGTGTGAAATTTGGGATTGGTCTTGACTGTTTTGGTTTCTGCTTTCGCTGACCTTTGGGATAGCCTCATGTGGATCTGAGCAGCTTCTCTCTTTTGTTTGATTTCCAGACGTTTTATTTTGGTTTGTATTGCATGGTGCTTAGATGGCTTTGGATAAGCATCCTATAAATGCATTAATGAAATAGTTTAACTATACTTTTATGTGGCTGAATGTATTTTATAGTGTATTATTATTTAAATGAAACAGATAATTGTTTAGGTTTTTGGAATTGTTCTACCTATGTCAAATATTTTGAGTGTACTACAGATGAATTACAGAATTAACTTCATAAATCAGGCACTGATGTTTAGTATGAATAATCCCTTTAGTCCTTACAAACATGTCCTCTATTTGAGTACCATCTAAAAAAACAAAACACAAATCAGAGAGGAAAAAAGAGTGCAATATTAAGATTGCAGAAAATTAGAAGATTAGAGAAGATCAGTATTGAGTCCAGTGCATTCTGACTTGTTCCAAACTTTCAATTCTTGTAAATATCTTAACTGGCAAAAGTTCATATTCATATATTTTTAAGACCTTTGACTCTCATGTCTTTTTCTGTATAAAACAATCTGGCAAATATTCACTGTTTCTAAACTTTTTATATTTTTGTATTACATTATTAACCCCTGTAGTTGATCCATTTATGAAACACAAAGCACTCCCATTTGTAGAGCTTTATTCTTGTATCGTTTTTCTCTGGATTTGCCAGAACACCATCATGTTCGTGTTCTGAAGGTTAATGCCCAAAGTCAGGCAGACAGAAGCCAAGTGCTGCAAGGTTTCCAAGATTAGGACTGATTCCCTTCACAGAAATAAATGATTCCTGCCATGTTCAGTGATTTTGTGCAGCACTACTCACGGCTGAGTGAGTGCATCAATACTGTAGTCCTTACATGCTGTACATACTGATGACACTCTGTGTTAACTTGATTGACTGAGCAGTATACTGGAGAGGATGCACCTGCAAGAGATGTGCAGACACACACATTTTTATTCTGGTTTCAAAACATTTATTTTACATTTATTTTACTTGGATGTCTTAGTTGCAAATTCCATGGGTTATCATGTTGTGCTGCTAAGGTAGAGCAAACGGTTATATGCTTCTTTGTTGTCAAAACTGTATTGGAAAATGATCTAAGGTGCATCTTCTTTCTCTTTAAAACCAAAAGCCTGATTTTATGCTTTTAAAAGAAAATGACATAAAGGGGACTAGTGTGAAGTCTGAAAAATCAGTAACTATGTAAAGTAGTTATCTTAGGAGGTTCAATTTAATGATAGGCAAATGTCTCATGTAATCCACTTAAAAGCAGTATTTTTGTTGCATTTTTATGTTTTGTTATTTTTATAGGCTTTAAGACAACAGCAGAAAAGAAGAAATGGAGTCTCAATGATGGTAAACAAGACTGTTCCTCGTGTTGTTTTGACACCATTAAAGGTGTCTGATGAGCAGTCGGATTCACCTTCAGGTAAATAGCTAAAGGACTGTGTGAAATATCAGTTCTAGTCACAAAGCCTTCCTCTGAATGAATCTGTAGCATACAAAATGTAGAATTGCTGCAAATAATGATATTTCCACATAGTAGTTTTGTTTAACTTCTTTATTTTCTTACCAAATCTAGTGAGTCAAAGATGGGGTTTTTTTCTTTCTTTTATTATTAAAGAACTGAAAGTACATAATAAACTGATAATTGATAGCAGCAGCAGCTTTAAGGGAATGCAAAGTAACATTTCTGTTTGGCTGTGGAACTCTAATGGAAGACCACATGCTGGCATTCAACGCCATCAAAAAACAGCTCCTCTGTGAGTGTGAATTTGTGTCTCAGTTCTCCATTGCAATACCAGAGATCTTTGCATTAGCTTTTTTGTTCTGGCAACATTCTTATCATCACGGTGCAACCCTGACCTTTAGTTCTGGTTGTTAGCTGCTTCATTTTAAAAGGATCCTACAGAGATGTACATCCACATTTATAACAGATCGATGATTGTATTTTCCAGGTACACCTCTTTTGTAAAAGTTACTTTGCAAAGAAATGATTTTTTCTCCTTTGATTGCTTTATTACTCCATAATATGGAGCTTAATTATTTTTAAAGGTATTTCTTGAGTATCATAGCAGAGCACTATTTATAGTGGATTAGTGAACATCTTGATTGACTGCAGTGTTCAGCAAATTTTAGTTTTCACGACTTACTTGATTTATTGAACTTTTCCTTCCATTTCCTCCAGTGCTCAGGAATCAAATAGTGGCCAAAAAGGTATATTACCTTTCAGCAAGTATCAGATAAAGTAGATGTTGCTCTTGATTTAAAAAAACAAACAAACTATTTTTGTTTTGAAGGAGGAAGAATGTGCATCCCTGTAATATTTTGTTGTTGTTATTTTTAAGGATCTGAATCTAAAAATGGTGAAGCAGACAGTTCTGATAAAGAAATGAAACATGGGCAAAAATCTCCAACTGGAAAACAAACAAGTCAGCACTTAAAGAGATTAAAAAAGTCTGGTTTAGGTGAGTAGGACTTGGGATGTCTAAAGTATTTCATTTGTTTCTATAATACTGAACTTTTTATAAACAATGTAATCTCCCTTTAGAGAGTTCCTTTTGTCACACTAATATGCTGATGCTTTTATCAATGCAAAAGCAGGCTCTTCCCCAGTAGCATACCTCCTTTGATGGCTACCTCATCCCTGTGAACTGCGCAGGGTTGCCTCCATATAGGAATCTCTTTCCTAGCATGCCTTTCTGCAACTGGCCTTTTAAATTTGACAGAGCCAAGTCAAATGGCTTTGACAGAGCCAGCCCAAAGAGGCCATTTTGTAACTAGCTACTGCTTGCTGCATTACCTTTTTTACTAGCTGGAAAGTATTCTCATCTCCTGTTGTATTTTCTCCCAATCTTCTCTTTCTTATTCCCAATGAGAATGGCACATTCTTACTACTTGTCAGGAGAAAACCTGCTAATTGAATAACATTTTCATATTCCATCCCATAATGAGACACAATACCCTCATTTTTATGTTGATTTTAGGACTCATGCATTAATTTGAAGCTATATGGCTGTAGTGCTAAATACCAAATATTTTTCATATTGTTCAATTTAGTGGATGATGATCTGTAATTAATGTAAAATCTGATCCTAAGAGGAGATAAAGTAACCTTTCAAAAGCCAGACATTCCTATTCTGTTGTGGAGTGTTTCTGTTCTCTGGAGAACAGTTTTCTGTTCACATACAGAATAGGGTGTTCCATTTCTTCAAATTCTTGGCTCAGCTCTGCTCCTATCCCCAGTTTAGAAGCATCTGTTTGCAAAATAAATGTTTTTTCAAAGACTGGGCTATGTAAAATGGGGTAATAACATAATTGTTTCTTTATCTCCACAAAGGATTGTTCACATTCAGCAGTCAATGTTGAGTCCTTTTGACATGTATTTGGTGAGATCTGTTAGTGAAGCAACCCTCTCAGAAATTAGGAATAAACTTTCTGTAGTAGCTGGCTAACCTTTTAAAGGATTTAAGTTTTCCTTTGGTGGTAAGAACCTTGGTCTCCTTTAGTGTCCTGACTTTGTCTTGTTTTAGTTTTATGAATCCATTTTCTGGAAGGAAAAAAAACAACAACAACAACCCACAAGATATTTTATTTCTTTGTTTGCTAAACAACGTCTTCATATTGATTGCTATACGTAATTCTTAGGCTATGTCTACACTACCGCGGTAAGTTGACCTATGCTACACAACTCCAGATATGTGAATAACGTAGCTGGAGTTGATGTACCTTAGCTCGAGTTATCGCGGGGTCTACACCGCTGGAGGGTCGATGGGAGAAACTCTCCTGTTGACTTACCTTACTCTTCTCATCAGGAGTAGAGTACAGGGGTCAACTGGAGAGCGATCTGCTGTCGATTTGGCGGGTCTTCACTAGACCTGCTAAATCGACCGCTGGTGGATTGATCTCAGAGTGTCAATCCTGGCTGTAGTGTAGATGTAGCCTTAGACTGCTGCTCATAGGTTTACCATATAGTTCACCCAAGTCTTGCTAAATAACAGCCCATCATCGAGTTATGTGACTCAGTTTCATACATTGTCTTTCAGCAGACTATCCATCAATCTTTAAAAAGTGGCTGGTGGGCCATATAGACCAAATATCATTGTTGTTAAATAAAAAAAATCCTTAGGGTGTTGGAACTTCTGTTTTACGATGCTGGGTTTAGAGGGATCTTGCAGTAATTTTTGTCTAGATGTACGGTTAAGAGAGATTTTCCATGTCCATTTTCTCCAGTATTTTGTCAACTCCTGGCATTGGATAGTTATCAAATGTAGAGATAGCATTAATTTTTCTGAAATCTATACAGAACCTAATTCCCCTGTCTTTTGGGGGCACGGTAACCACTGGGGAATGCCATGGGCTTCTGGAGGTTTCAGGAACCTTTAATTTGAGCATGTTTTCTTTTTCTTCCTCTGCCAAAGGTTTCATCCATTCAGATATACGCTTGAATCTTTGTCTTATGGGTTTATGGCCCTCGATATCTATTGTGTGAGTAAGTATCAGTGTGTTCTGGGGTTCTAGTAAAATAATTGCTATATACCTTTAAGAGTAGGTCCAAATCCCAATGCTGTGCCTGGTTCAATTCCAGACATTGCTTAACTATCTGAATTCCCAGAGACTCTCCCAAACTCCCATATTTCTTCTATTGCACTCTCTGATTTACTTGTGGTATGCCCTGCAAGAAAACCTTTCTGACCACTTTGGGGTTCAATCCACCCTTTTGAATAAATTCACAGAATATATTTTTGCCCTTGTTTACCAGCTGTGGTAATTGCATAATATACAGGACTTATCAGTCTCATGACTACATGGTCCTTGCCATTTTGCTACTAATTTAGTCTCACTGCTGTGGAGCGGAAGCAAAACTTTTTCACCTGGTTTATATTTAATTCCCATGCCCCTGTTATCATACCATGTCTTCTGGTTTATTGGGACTTGTGTTAGATTCTCCTTTGCCAACTCAATAAACTGAGTGAGTTTCTCTCATCTTTGGGGTGTATTCTATAATTGCAGGGCTCTATTTTTGATCTGACCTCAGTTTCCAGTTCTCTGATAGCTATGGGTCCCCTAGATTGATGGTCATAAAATAATTGGAAAGGTTGTTGCCCGAGGTACCTCTCTATAAGCAAAGAAGAGATGTATCATCTCATCTCAATGTTTGGCATCCTCCTGAACACATTTTTAAGCATGTCTTTTTCAAGGTTTCTACCAAGAATATTCTACCGGCACTTTATTCTGGGGATGATATGTTGTGTTGTGAAAGCAATTACTCCTACTAATTCATTAGGTCTCTGCAGTAATACTGAATTGAAGTTGATAGCAGGGTGAAGGCGCCAACACAACATGTGTATACCCCAGATCTGTGAAGATGAAACCTGGTTTTTCTGTAGCTTCTTGGGCTATTTGCAATTTCAAGACATCACACACTCTGTCCACCTCAGAAACTTTGATTCTGGAGAAGATACTATAGTAGCAACTCTGCAGTATAAAACTCATTTTTAGTTTTAGGAGCACCTTTTCCCTTTCCATGAGGTTTTTCCATCGAAGGGGAAGATATTAGCAGGGGAGAACAATTTTTCTCCAATTTGCACCTAAAACATGAAGACAGATGCATCCTACATTGTTAAAAGAAAGGAATGTAAACCTGCATTTAAATCATATACATCATACTTACTCGTATTACACTTGGGAATTATGTTTTTTCTGCATGTATAGTTAGTGGGTGGAACAGATGGTGAAGCCAATTTAATGTGATGCACTCATTAAAATGAGCACTTCTTCCACATGATTGTCCTTCATAACGGGGGATTCAATGGTTTTAATGGAGTTTTTGCTGTATTGAAATGCAGGATGTTCAAAGCATATGTTGTATAAGGTTACACTATGCTGAAGACAAACTAACCCTTATCTCATTCAGTCAGTATTGCTTGTTGAAAAGTAACAAGAAATTGCAGGAAATTTATGGGAGGCTGTGAGTTTCTCTATTCATTCAAAGGGGAAAACTATTGAACTTGCAAATTGGCTGCAAACTTTTCCCTTTCCATGAGGTTTTGGACACTATCATAGCTTTTCAGCAGAGACCAAACAGTAAGGCTCTTAAGAAATTCAAAAAAATTAAATTGTAGTACTTGTATTCATATTACATTTCATACTGAGTGACATTCAACAAGTCTCTTAAGGTCTCTTTGCCCAAGTTTCCAGATCTGTAAAATAGGGATATCTACCCTCCCTTACAAAACACTTGGAGATCCTCAGATGAAAGGCCCTGTATAAGTGCTGAGTATTCTCATTATTAACAATGACAAAAAAATTCCCTTGGAACTCGGGCATGACTCACCTTGTTGCTTGGGTGTGATCTTGCTGAAACATCCCTTTGCAGGACCTTTGAAATATTAAAAGTCTAAGCAAACAAGAATCTCAGGTGGTTGGCCTCAGCAGTTTCTGTCTTGCACACTTCTACTGAACCTTCTGGGTACAAATGTATTTTTTTTTAATCTCACCTGGAACTTGCATGTTCTTTTGGACTTGCTGGGACTGGTCATCTAATTAATTTAATGAGTCTTCTTATCCCATTTGACAGATTCTTAGTGGGTTAGTCTGCAGTTGCAGTATGCTATTTACATCTTTTAGATTTTATGAAAATTCAGAAAAATATTAATTTGCACAAAATTAATATATCACTAATAAATTAGACAGTCTCTCCTCTGTGATCACATGTCTCAAGTTGTGATAATGCACTGAGGGTTTTTTAAGAGCGAATAAAAATACAGAAGAGTGGTAATACATAGAAAAAGTAAATGAATAGGATAGGTGGACAACAATGTACTGCAGGTGCAGGAGCACAAATAAAAACTTCATTCTGTGTAATAAAGTTTCACCCACTTGGGCCTCTTCAGGCAGCCACATATGTTCTAACAAACATTCAGTCTTGTGTGAGCTAATTTTGCTTAGCAGTAGATGCTTAAAAATATGTTGGTGAAATGACAGAAAAATTTACTTGTTCAGCTAAATCAAGATATCCTGACTTCTAGTTAAAGAAAGAGAATATTGGTCATGGTGTAGCCTGGAACATGGATGCCGTGAAAGGTGAGGAAGTGAACATTGGGATGTATAAAAGGAAGTTCATAGAATCCAGAAGAAAGCTGTATTCCCCTTCACAAAGCTCTGTCTTATTGGAGTGCACTATACTATATAAAATATAAATAACTTTTGAGAAAAATTATTGTTCCTGTTCCCTCTGTTATCTGTGGTAAAGGTAAATGTGTTGTTTGTTTACTCCAGGACATTTGAAATGGACCAAAGCTGAGGATATTGACATAGAAACACCAGGATCTATTCTAGTGAACACTAACCTGAGGGCTTTAATAAACAAACACACCTTTGCTTCCTTACCTCAGCATTTTCAACAATACCTCCTGCTTTTGCTTCCAGAAGTAGACAGGCAGGTAAGTAGAAACATAAAACATGTGCTTCCTTACTCATAAAACTTTTTGTGTTTTGGAATATTTACAAAGTCTGACTTGATTCCACTCAAAATCATTATAGAATGAAACTTGTAAAATAATTGTTTTTCTTAGCTATTCTACATCAGCAAGTTTTAATTAACATTCACTTGTGTCCAGATCATGTCCTGCCTCCTGCTGCCTCCATTTCTATGACCTCCCTGAAACCCAAGCCACTCAATTACAACCTGTCCAAAATGCAGCCGGTCAGATTACCCTCTTAACCAGTTGAATCCCTTTACTGGCTCCCCTTTGCCTTCTATAGCAAGCTTAAACTTCTTGTCTTTCAAGGACCCACACAATCTCACTCCACATGTCATTTTTTTCTGTGTTCCCCTCAGCCTCTGCGCTCTGCCAACAACATCAGCCTCAATGCTTAATTTGTTACCTTCTCTCACTCCTACCTCCATTCCTTCTTCCACACTTCAGCCTATTTTGGAACAAATTCTCAGTTCCAGTGCACGAGGACTCCAGCCTCTCATCTCATTCATATCCCTATTAAAAGACTCACTTCTTGCTTGAGCCCCACCAGTGCTCACTTCATCTAGTCATACACCCACTCCACTGGAGATAATGGGAATGGGCATGGGAAGAGAAGATAAATTTTTCAAGTTATTAGTTCGGGTTTCCCAACGTGTGTTGTCCTCTCTGTATCTGTCCTTTAGACTGTAAGCTCCTGGGGGTAGGTGAGCCTCTCTGTATCTTCTCCAGCATATTGTTAGCAGTTAGAACAATAGTAATTTAGGCCAGGTACTTAAACACTTGCCTAATTTAAGCAAATGTATAGTCATTGACTTCAATGGGACTACGCATGTACTTACATACTTAGTTACATGCTTAAGTACTTTGCTGAATCAGGGCCTTATGTTGTATGCAAATAGTCAGTGAGTTACATTTCCTCTCTGTTCTCAGTCCACAAAGGATTTGAGTCTGTTACAGCCCAAGCTACAGAGCCCGGCTCTTAGGTCAAACTGTTGTGACTCATGGCTTTCGCTCTTGAGGTTCTTGGCTCATTCTTCAGTTTTTGTGAAGATGGCAGATGCCACAAAAACACAACAGAAAGATAGAGAGAACAATATAAGCAATTGATTGACCCAACATCTTAACAAATTATATACTATATTTTAAGGACTCTTCAAACTATATGCTTTGTCAACAGGGAGTATTTGAAGTTGAACATTAAAAGCCAGATCTGCATCAGAAGTTATGTAGAATTATTTATTCTCATTCTCCTCAGATGCACTTAAAATTGCTATCAACAAAATTAAAAAGGACAGTTTTTCATCAGGCAGAAAAACAGATTTAAATTTGCGATGCAGTTAAAATTTTATTGATAGTTTTCAGTTATCTAACAGCCTTCAGTTAGTGATTCAGAAGAGATAAATTGTCTGTTAGATATGATCCTATTTCCTATCCAATCCAGTCGGAGCTAAACATTCACACTTCAATTTGTAAAACTACTGGCATTATTTACAAGCCTCCTAACGTAAAGATTATAAAAAGATAGGGACCACAGTACTGAGTTACTGCCTTACCTTCATTTAAGATAATGTATTCAATAAAAACTGCACTCATGCTCAGTACCATGGAAAATTGATTTTTTTTTTGAGTTTTGCATGGCTTTTGGCATGAAAAACAAGAATGTTTGTTGAACTAGGCCCTAAATTACTAAGAATTTTTTCAAAAACATTTCCTTCTCATTCTTGTTTCAATAAACTTTGGTATAATACATGTGAGTGCAACAGGCACAGTACCACAAAACTAAACTCAACTCCATGGCCAAGAAAAGTAGTTACTAAAAGAATACACCATCAGCCTCATACTCTTACAGCAATATTTTTTCTTTGGTCTCATGTTTTCCCTATGCCTCTTTCTGTCTTTCATGTGTTTGAACAGAAACCCAGGCTCTTTCTTTTATGTGCGTTTGGAAAGCAGGGGTGGTGCATATATTTGGGAATAGTGGGCAGATTTGGTGGCTGGAAGAATGATCATTTCAGGGTTTCTTGTCTCTTGGAGGATGGAAGTTCCGGAGGCCTGTCCCTGACCTTTACTTTACAGAGGTTGTAATACCAAATGTGGGTGTTTCCTGATGTGACATCTGAAAAGGTGCCCCATAAGGCATCTTCCTGGCTGCGACAGGAGTGGGCTGATCAAAGTAATGACACTCTCTCACATCTTCTGTTTGGGGTGAGTGCTGGGCATTGATACACCTCCCGGGGGCGAGAAGGAGTGAGACGCAAGGCCTGTCAGGTTTCTGATTTCCTAATCTCTCCCACTGAGGCAGGCTGGACTTCTCTTGGCAGGCTCTTTTCCATTCCCTGTACCAACATGGCTTTTTTGAGCTGAGCTCTCTCTGTGTTTTCACAGGCCACGCTCTTGTCTCGGTCTCCTCCAACCCCAGAACCAGGAAGGGTATGTCTGTACTTCAAGCTGAATGTGGATGAGTATAGCCGTTACACTTCTATTTTTAGTGTGCTATCTCAGTCACAGCTAGTGTGGGTGCATCTCCTCAAATCATGGTTTACCCCTCTAGCTCGAAGTGTGGACATACTCAGTGAATACCAGGGAAGATATTCCTTTATCCCACCCTCCGCCCGGGAGCGAGAGGGGTAGGGATTTTGAGGGGCCTAGACAGACATAGTCTGAGGGTGTTCATGTGTCATTGTTTCAGAGGGCCCCCTGCTACCAGGAGCAGAAAAGCTAGAGTGACCCTACCTTTCTCTGCAGGGGAAGTGGGAAATTGGAGCCCTGGTAGCCACTTGAGCAGTATCTCTTGCTGCCCTCATATACACCATATTTCACCAGTCTCCTGCAAGCTTTGTTATTTGGGGGTAGGAAAGCTTTAAGTGCCCAGTGACCACAAGCAAATGCCTGCCCATTCTCTGCCCATCTCTGGGAACACCTGTACACTTACTTGCTAATGCTAGAGAAATCCAAACTCCACAGATATTTTTTCCACAACTTTTTGTCTGATAATTTCTATATGCAATTACATTTTTCCCGGCCTTATACTATTGTGCAATCAATAGTTGGCTGGTGTCGTCCTCCCTAGATATGGCTGCATTTCATCAGTTCTATATGGATATACTATATGAAGTGCTGTGATGAAAGATGCTATGTAAATGCAATATATCAATACTATTTGTCTTCATGTATGGTGATCAATGAAATATAGTATTGAGTAAGTGCAGGCTCAATTACACTTTATTACTGCTCTAGATAGAACAACTATATGATGAACAGTCAATTGTCATTTCTGTCACAAACACCATTTTTCTAAGGCTAGGTCTACACTATGAGCCTGAATCGGCAGGTAGAAATCAATCTCTCAGGGATCGAATTATCGCGTCTCGTCGGGACGCGACAATCGATCCCCGAATCGACGCGCTTACTCCACCAGCGGAGGTAGGAGTAAGCGCCATCGACGGGGAGCCGCGGAGGTCGATTTTGCTGCCGTCCTCACAGCGGGGTAAGTCAGCTCCGATACGCCGAATTCAGCTACGCTATTTGCGTAGCTGAATTTGCAAATCTTAAATCGACCCCCCCCCCCCCCCCCGTAGTGAAGACCTGCCCTTAGTTATATAACTCCACCTTCTTAAATGGCATTGGGCTGAAACTTGTCATGCATTTGTTTATACAAATCCAAACATTTTTAGCAACCATTACTTAAGTGAGTTGCCTTTTTTAGTTAAGCAAAAAATACCCCCAAATTAACTCAAGATTTAATTGTGTTTATACCAACCTCTTGTTCAAAAAAAGGCTTAGGACCAAATCCTGCACTTTAGAATAGATGTTCTCAATATGGGGATGAGCTGGTGTTGAGGAGTCACAACCACCCCACCCTTCCCTTGCTAAATGGGAGCAGAGGCTTAGGGGTGGGGTCCCTGCATTGGAAAAGGTTGGACACCACGACGCTATTGTTGTGTGTACTCTTTCCTATTCTCACTGGAATTTTGCCTGAGTAAAGACTGTATGCTTGTTCCCTACATTTTAAAATCAACTTCATCTTAACATCCAGAATGTTTGTTAGAACAATATCTATGTGTGAATGCCATCTGCTATTCACAACTTATATGTTTGAACAGTTCCAAGTTGCATGTTGCTTAGGTTCTATTTCAGCAGTAAAGATGCTCATGCAGCATTCTTTGTGTTCAAAATATCATGAAAAGAATTTGGAACTAGAGCTGGGTGGAAAAAAGTATTTCCATTGCCCAGAAGATTTTGTTATTTTGAAATTAGTTTTTTCTATGATTTGGGAGGGGGGTGGGAAACGAATATTTTGAGATTCTCCATGAAAGGGAATTGAGCCCTGGCTCTGGGGCAATCTGCCTGGTGGGCTTCCCCAGAGCCTTGGTCCCAGAAAACATTTGTGTCCCTGACATATTGGCAGCCTCCTTGGCAAACTGCTCGGGAGTAGGGAACCTGGTAGCTCTGGGGCCCCATAGTCTGCGTTGTGGGGCTCCCAGGGCTTCTGCGCTGTTGATAAATTTTATAGTCAATTGCTTGACCATATTTTGGTCTATGAAATATACTCAAGGGATCTAATAATTAATGTTAGTCAGGTTATTAATACGGTACAGGAAAAAGGTCTATGCTACCAGACTCCAAGGAGCTGTCCCTTGTAGCAATGTTGCATGCACCTCACACAGAAGGTGTGCTCCCCCCAGTTACACATTTGATGGTATTATTTATATGATTTTACAAATTACACATCTCTTTACACTAAAATGCAACCCATGAGTTCCTTCCTTATCTTTGTTTTGGATACTAACATTCCATGTACTGGTCAGTGAAGGTAGATCAAATGTATCTTGATTTTTGACAAGTTTCTTATCCGCTTATGCCAAATGCTTACTTTAGCAGATGTAAGGAATTATGGGATACTTAGCGTAAGTGAACAAGATTATTGTATGAGCTAGTTTAAGATATATCAGTTACAATAT